AATTAATGGGCCAGTTTTTTTATTTGATGTTGAGTAGCTGAACACCTCCACAAGATGGACTGGCCTAAGACTATTTAAACAGCACTCTCTCCTACTGATGAAAAGGAGTTAACGATTACAGTTAACTCTGCTTGTCGACCTCTCTGCCTGAAAGCAGAGAGGAACCCAGACGAGGCTATGTCGAAGAGCAGAGTCTCGTCTGTGGAGGTTGACAACAACCGGAAAACGTGTATACAGGATCTATATTGAATTTTTGCACGACCCTACGGACTCTGAACGCCTCATGAAAAAAAAAACGGCCTTGTACCACATCCTACCTTGTGTGTGGTTCTCGGGTAAATACTCAGGAGTTCACGATTAATTGTTACTCTCCTTGTCGACTCTTTTCCTTCGGACGGAGGGGAACTCAGATGGGGCTATGCCTACTGGTCTCGTCTGGGGAGCTAGACAGCCACCCGACCACGTGTATGCGGGGTCTATGGGGAAAATTTGCGCGAGCGTACGCGCATGGATAGCCCCACGTTAAAAACCGGCTTCGAGCCACATCCCACCTTGTGGGCAGGTCTCAGATAAATACCGAGGAGTTAACGATTAACTGTTTATTACTTTAGTCTGTGTTCACAACTGTGTACCATATTGTTCTCCGGAATGAACTTTCTTACTTTCTATATGTGTGTCAACATTTCCTATTTATGAAACAACACTATTGTTATTATTTAACATCAAAACTGACTCGTAAGTAAGAAGCTGTAAGAAAGTTCCACAAGCGAGAAGTGCGATAGAAGAAACTGCTAGCATAGAACTTACGGTTTACATCTCACCATTTCAATTGTAAAAAGATGAGACCTAGAAGTGCGCTTAAATTCATAAAGTCTAGGTACCGCAGCGGAAAGTTCATCAGAACAATTAACATGAAAGTATTGATAGAAAATGCACAGGGAAGTTACGTTAGGGTGACGGGAAAGTCACTGAAGACGAGATGCCGGATCAGGACTAATAAAATTGCAGATTCTTCTTTGGATTTTATCAAGAATCCCTCAATATATAGCAAGAAGACCAGATGTAGCAGAAATATTCAAAGCAAGGACGAAGGGGAGACTTATAAATATGTAAGATAGATTCCAGCGAGAAAAGGTTTCTAGTACAGTATAGAAAGCCAACATTTTTAGCTGGAAATTTAGGAATTGATACAATATCGTGTTTTCACTTCAAATTAGTCCGAGAAGGTGCAATTAGTCACTCACCTGGAGGTTAGCATCAGGATGGAAGCAAAAAGCGTTCTTTCAGATGATTAATTGCGAGCTGTTTCATTTTTGAGGCATTAGAATTGACAAGTCACTCCTTGTCCCATTAAACAACCGATTATAGTTCATTTTTTGACATCAACCTGACATGACTGGCGAGGAGTTCCAGGATAAAATGGAGGAGATATATTGTAGACGTGCATGTAAATTTCAATTCTGGTACTCAAGTTTTGGGGCAATTCATCAGTAGACATCAGGAAATGTGTATGGAAGTGGAACAGAAAGTTTGGTTCCATTATTTTGTTTTACGGCATATCAACCTCAATGGGTTATTTAATGCCGACAAGAATTTTTATGATAGATTCGTATGAATAGAATATGTATTCTTTGGTTTAGATTGGTTTGGTTTATTTTGTTTTACGGCATATCAATCTCAATGGGGTATTAAATGCTGACAAAATTTTTATTGCTTGTAATATTTTATTTTATCAAAAATCTGTTTCTGATTATATATAAAATTGTACTGCTGGTAATAACTTTTTTCAAAAATGTGTTGCTGGTAACTATTTGCCCATAGCTTGGAAAATAACTGGTGTTACCACCCCGGGTGAGGGTGGACCTGGGAACACCAGCAATTAAGAGGCGGTTCCACGCTCCTCAAAACCTCCTGATCAGAGGCCTTGCTGCTGGAGTTAGTTTATCGTCTTACCCAGGACGCGGATGTAGTTTAACGTCTTACCCAGGACGCAGGAACAGAAAGGAGAAATGGCGAGGAAAATAAAAAAAAGGAAAGGAAATGTGCGGTGTGGTATTCTTTTGTGGTTTCTTACTGAATGAGGTGATAGATTGAAACACTTCAACATCAGAAATCATTGTGGATGGTGTTATATTTATATATATATATATATATATATATATATATATATATATATAGAGAGAGAGAGAGAGAGAGAGAGACAGACAGACAGACAGATAGACAGACAGACAGATAGACAGACAGAGACAGATAGAGAGAGATAGATATGAACAAATTTTCAGTTAACCTGCAGAAAAAGACAATATTTATAAATGTAATAGCCGGCTCGTTTCGTCCAATGTGGACTTTTTATGGCAAAGACGAAATGAATTTATTAAAACAAAGTAACTAATAATAACAAAACAAAATGACCTTAGCAACTGTAAGAATTTAGAAAACGCTATTATATTCATATTGTCAACTGAAAATTACATTCACACGAGACAGTACTTAACGTAATAAAACGTTCCTATTTAAAACAACAGAAAAATAAAATTCAACTTAAACAGTCAAAACATGAGAAAAAACTAACAACGCCAAAAACAAAACCCCTTGAAAATGGCTAAAGTGGCGTCCGAAATCACTTGCAACAATGAAAATTATTGAAAATTTCTGTACTTCCTTAATCCTACGAAACGGAAGCATACTGGAAAAACAATATAAAAAATTAAATCGACCTTGTCCGCCATATTTAACAAAAAATGTTTAAAACACAGGTTTCTGACCATATATATATATATATATATATATATATATATATATATATATATGAAAACTGGAAATAAGTTGGAAGATTATAGATTCCGGACATACATATAATAAGGAAGAGTTGTGACTTATGTTTAGATAAAAAAAAAAACAGAATAATGAAATACAATAATCAAAGACAGTTATTAAATAAGAGGAATGAATTAGTTGTAAAATGTTGACATAAAAATAAATTCAAATTCCATAATATAGGTTTAACTTAATTAGTTGATATATTTCCATAATATTCACTCTCCTCTTACTCTTCAAATATTGAATGTATAACTAATTCTAATTTCTATATTCTCCCTCCAGTACCCGTTCACCTATATTTATTGTAACTTTCCCCTACTCTTTTTCCCATTAATCATTTAAATCCTTTTATCTATATATTTTAAAGTTATTTTTAACCCCTTTTTATTCCTCCTTTAATTTTGGATTAATATTTCATTCTTCATATAAACCCAAATTAATAAACGCTAAAGTTAATATTTTGGTTTAATTTTATAAAACTTCTTCCCTTTAAGACAAATATCTTCCACTCTCCCTTGTCTCGTGCCTTTCGCCTGACTGAAACACTGAAATGGATAAATTATGTATTAGTCTTTCGACTGTTTTTGTTTTAGGTTTCACAGTTAAATTTCTATTTCGGACACGAACTCTGTCCACACTGTGGCTGATAAGACAGACGACCGGTATCTTCGTCTGTCATAATAGGCTATTCCCCATGCGAGGTGATTTGGTATATTATATTTTATTATATATATATATATATATATATATATATATATATGTATATGTGTGTGTGTGTGTGTGTGTGTGTCATTCGCAGACAGTACTGTTTCGCTGTATCAGACTAGACAAACGAATGCCTCAAGCCTGGATCGAAACCCAACCGATTTGGTGTCAGTCATAGCTTCTACCACTGAGCCATCGACAGAACGAATCAGCCAAATCTAGTGTATTGTTTTTACAAACGTAAACAAAAGTCAAGCAGCCAAAGTGCTCCATTCATTTCACTGAAGAGCTTCGCATTTATGCAGGTGACAGTTGGTTTGAGAATTAGCTTGTCATTCAACAGTGCTCACACAGCTAAATTATGCCATTTGCAGACAGTACTGATTCGCTATATAATAGCTCCTCAATTCATCCTCAGTGGAAATAGACAACCGAATGCCTCAAGCCCAGGTCAAAACCTAACCGATTTGGTGTCAGTCAGAGCTTCTACTACTGAGACATCTTCCTTCGACAGAATAGACAAAAGAATCGTTATATAGACAAAACTCTAATTGTCCCCGACTGCGCAATTTCGTGGGACTGTGTCCACTTTTCAAGGAGTTAATGCCTGTATTACATATTTCCAATTTTAATGAATATCCGCTTTTTTTATATTCATATTTGTGTACAGAAAGTCAGCCTCTCCATCATCTTATCTGTTGGTACTGGTCTGTTCTCTTAGGGATGAGTGCGAGGCCAGTCTGTCCCTGGATACCGATAGTGCCCCCAAAAACTATTAATTAAGACATACACACAAGTATGATATTTTTAATTTTGAAATTAGGTTTACCTCACTCCTTTTTAACTTTCAAATCAGGTAATGACTTCTTTTCTAGTTTCCCCAAATAATTCATGTTCATCCTGTTATGTACCATCGGCCAATGAGAGAAAATTTAAAGTTTCGAAACATGAAAGTTTTTGTGTAGCGATGAAAAATATTATAATAAAAATATCATAATGATATTTTGCTCAACGCTGTATTGAGCACTTTTAAAAAAAATGCTTATAACTGTGGATTCTTAATCTGTCTGTTCTTTCTCTTTATATATATATATATATATATATATATATATATATAATTTCCTTACCCCTTACTTTTCCCGTCTATTTTATATTTTAACTTGCCCTACGTTTTCTTTTTATTTGAATTGTATTGAGCTCTCCTTATTTAGTTGTTCTTTTGATGAATATCATTTTTTTGCCAAAGATTGAATCCATGCTTAATATATCCTTTACTTTTCGCTCCATTCCTTTTCTTTGTTTTATACTTTTTGCTTATTTTAAAAGACTGATTAACTGATAAATTCACAGCACAGGTGAGTGTTGACATTTTCGTATTCTACGTTTTCTTTCGAATAAAAACATCGAATTCAATGCTGAGATTTTCAAACAGCTGCAGAGAAACTAGTCATAATGCATGATTTGAAATTGTTTTGATGGATTGCTCTGCAGTTTTGTTAGCCTCTCTCTCTCTCTCTCTCTCTCTCTCTCTCTCTCTTTCTCTCTCATTTAGTAAAAAGAATAATCGTTGATTTTCGTTGCTATATTAGCAGTCCGTCACCTGAATGTGTCGCGAGAATTAACGATAACTTAACTGCAAGATTTTCCAGTAGAGACCATGACATTTAGTAGTTAATAAAGAGTGCATACTGCTTTATCATGGAAACTTCCAGTTTGCAATTCGCGTCTTGGCACCCACACGGAGACAATTAAACTTAAGCGGAGTCTTATCTTTACAAACCCAAATTAATAAGGGCCCACATGAAGTAATTAAGCATTTTCTTAAACCTAAGCCAAAACATTCAGTCCTCCGTATAACCGAGATAGAAACAAAAGGAAGCTTATGCGTAACATCAGGGAGAGACATTTAACATTTCTTAGGCATATAATGAAGAAAGAAGGCTTGAAAAATCTGATACTTCCAGGGCAGATTAAGGGTAAGAAGGACAGGGGAAAACAGTGCAAAAAAACAAGGGATAGGAAATTGTGGAGAGCTATGATCGCTGACGTCCTGAGCGGCTATGGCACATAAATAAGAACTCAGTAGATTACTGCTAATGTGTAGCGAGTTCAATTCTCACTGAGTGTCCCATACAAAATTCGGCATTAAATAACTCAATAAAGGTTGATGGGTCACAAAATCACCCTGCCTGATCTTATCGGCATCGCGGGGCAGCAAATAAGTCTCTTTTTGTTAACCATGACTAACGAGAAATGGGATTGATCTTGACTGGGTGTCCCATACAAAATTCAGCAGTAAATACTCCAATAAAGGTTGATTGGTCATAAAATCACCCTGCCTGATCTTATCGTCCTTTCGGGGCAGAAATTATGTCTCTTTTTGTTAACCATTACTAACGAGTAGTGGGATAGAACTTGACTGGGTGTCCCGTACAAAATTCGGCAGTAAATACTCCAATAAAGATTGATTGGTCATAAAAATCATCGTACTTCGGGGCAGAAATTATGATCTTTTGTTAACCATTACTAACGAGTTGGATAGAACTTGACTGGGTGTGGTACAAAATATTAAGTAAATACTCCAATAAAGATTTTGTTAACCATTTGCGTGGCGGTAAGTAAATCCCTTTTTGTTAACCATTACTAACGAGCAATGGGATCGATTTTGACTGGGTGTCCCATACAAAATTCAGCAGTAAATACTCCAATAAAGATTGACATGTAAAATCAACCAAGCAATCAACAGAATAGTTAGGAGAAAAACATAGCTTAAAGCTTCGAAGGGGAGTGAGGCCCAAACACAGCACAAGAAGAGGTATGGATGGTTCATTAATTTTATTTTATTCTAAGTTTAATTATTAACATTTTGATTGACATGTTGTGTCGTTAGCAAACAAGTCTAACGGGTCATTGTTTCGTTAGTTCGAGCCTTACCGGATTTCACACATTTACAGCCTTGTGAAAAGCCAGCGGCTCTATTCTGATCACCTTTAGTAAGTGACTAGTATGAAGCTATGTAAACCAAAAGAATTATTTTCACGAGTCCAACTCTTTCCAGATTGGTGTGAATTGTTATTCTCCTAGATTAGTCGCCAGCTATCCCTGTCTGTCTTGCTATCTTCTCATAGCTGGATTCATATCTTTCCCAATATTATAACCACGTAAGTGAATCTAATAAACTCGACTGGAATTCGAACTCGTCTCTACAATTCCTCAGTCCCGAATCTAACCGTTATTCTGCCGAGCCTCTAGAGAAATAAAGATTTGAAACTTCATGATTATAAAGACGACATTTCCATCACAAGCAAGGTGGCTGTAGCAGTAGTAAAAGCAACACAGACGTATCTTGTTCACTCCGTAAAAATCCAGAGTTGATGGTTTCAAAAGTTTCCATTAACCATAAAATTCTCGGAACAGTTATAAACAAGTCCAAACTTTTAAAGAAACAAAAGAGACAAATATCCATGAGGACATTTAAAACACACAAAACCAATATTGTAAATAACATAACGAAAATAAAAATACACATTATTGTTATTAATTTTAACATGTGTCTCAAAGTTTTATTCTTTATGTTATTGTTCTATGTTTCTGGAGGGGGTGGGGATTTAATTAGACTTAAAATTTAGAAAATGAAAACCATGAACTTAAACAAAAATATTACGATATAATATGTCAAATGCTTTAAAACAGCATCTTTTAGATGAGGGTTATCTCCCCCTGTTCTGTCGGCTTATTTAAATATTCATATGTTTAAAGAGATAGATGTACAAATCTAGCAATAGTCTTCGGTTACCAAATAAATATGTACGACTATGAGTAGTACCTGCCGTCGATACATATGAAGTGCTGTTCGATAAAAGTGACTCACCTGATTTTTTTTTTACTAAATGTTCTCTTCTCCGATGAAACAAAATTTGAGCTAAATTCAAAGGATAAGCGATCTAAAATCCGAAGAAGCAGTTTTGAAAGCTCTTTGAATTTAGCAGTAATTACTGTCAAGCCTCCGTTCAGTATAATGTTCTGGGGATGCTTTTCTTTTCATGGAACTGGTTTCTTAAAACCTATTGAAAAGACCCTCAGGAGCGAGCGGTACAAGAGAATTTTAGAGTCTTGTTTGTTCCCTTCTGCTGAAAGGGTGCAAATCGACCCCACCAAGCTCATTTTTATGCAGAATAATGTTCCCTGTCACAAATCAAAACTGATGAAAGAATACTTTGATGAGAAGCAGGTGAGTGTTATGACATGGGCGCCCCAATCTCCTGACCTCAACCCCATAGAAAACTTATCGAGCATTATAAAGTACAGACTCTCGAGAAAGCAGTTGAGCAACATGCTCCATAAATTTTCTATGGGGTTGAGATCAGGAGAAGAACGTAAATGATTTATTTTTATTTTCTAGAAAGAGATCATACTAACAAAATATATAACAGTATTACATTCCTTCTCTCCGACTATGAAAAGTAAAACAGATGTTAAAAATCATGCTGCAAGAGGCTGTGTTTACCGACGCGTCAGGAAAGAATCTTTTCGTGACGGTGTCTACTCGCAAACTATTCTCTGTACATACGTACTGGCTGTCCGTCAAAGGATATGTGGGTAAGCGCAGTGTATACAAATTGGGAAAAGGAAATAGCTCACCCAACAATAGTAAGGCTATTGTCATTTTTGACAGCATAGGTAAACTTTTAATTCAAATAAAATTCTACGAGACAAAATGTAGGATTTAGTATTCTGTTATTAAGTCTCAAGAAGTAACACGTTGAAACAGCAGTTCTCGTATGATCACTGAAGTTAAGCAACGTCGAATCTGGTCAGTACCTATATGGGTAACTGCTTAGGAATACCAGGTGATTGAAGCTAGGGTGTACGGATGGTGCAATGGATAACGGTTCGGAATTGGAAATCGGAGAGCAGAGTTCTAACTTCAGTCATGTTCGTTATATTTACCTATGCATATATTCTTGGGAAAGGCATGAATCCACCTCTCCCCCAGCTACATGCTATATATCAATAAACCATTATTATTACACCTCACAAAAAAAAAAAAAATACAACCTACAAATGTTGTCTGCTTTTAAATAATTTGCAAAAGGTAGATAAACCGGAAAAAATATATCAGTCAATCAAGAATTAATACAGGGTGCCCAGTAAACAAATTTATTATAACTGTTTTATCTTTCAGGAATAATTGACCTTGAATAACCTTGAATAAATTTCATGAATATTGCTGACCTTGCAAAATTATTTGACTCTCGGGTCATTACTTAACTCTGATTGGTTATTTTATGATTGATTTAACTGCTGATCTTGTGATGTGTTTAAAAGTTATTTCAGACAACTTTCGTCTTTCGTTCTGCCATTTTCGTATCGTTAAACAACTCACTAATTTTGAGCGCCATTTTATCGGACTTTTCAAAGAACATTCGACGTGTGCTTCTCTTGTTTGCTCTTCACTTATTGTCCATAAAATATAATTTATATCCAACAGCTTCATGAGTGGAAAAATAAAATAATAAGTACAGGGTGACCGTTGTATTTTTCAGGAATAATTGATCTGGAATAAATTCCTTTAATAAGCATTCGACTCACACGTAATTACATAACTCTGATTGATCTTTTATGATTGATTAATTAATTGCTGCTCGCTCTTGTGACTCGTCATTTAAAGGTTATTTCAAGACAACGTTTGTCTTTCGTTCGGCTCTTCTCGTATAGCTAAACAACACATTGATTTTTGCGCGCCAAGTTATCGTACTTTTCAAAGAACATCCGACATTGGGATTGATGAAATGTGTAGAAAATTCTTCCTGAATTTTTCACTCACATCAGTCGTCACCAGTTTTCAACACTTGTCTCACGTCTTTCTGAATTTACCGCTTTCTTCACTGGGCCGAAAGAAACGTCAGAACTGACCATGCTCGACGTTGCTTAACTTCGGTTAAGCAACATCGAGATTGGTCAATGGCTTAATAGGTGACCGCTTGGGAATACCAGATGCTGTAAGCTTGGATGTGCAGCTGTTGCGATGGATAAGGTCTTGGAATGAGAAATCAGAAAACCAGAGTTCGAATTCCAGTCGAGTTCGTTACATTCCATTAAGCAAATTTCTAGATTAATATTCTTCCGGTTTCTTGATAGGCTGCCACCTATTTTCTTCAAAATGTTAAATGTGTTATGATTCATGATGATAATGACATTTCACCATTCTAGAAATAAAGATTTGAAACTTCCTGATAATAAAAACGACATTTCCACCACAAGCAAGGTGGCTGTAGCAGTAGTAAAAAAACAAGCAACACAGACGTATCTTGTTCACTCCGTGAAAATCCAGAGTTGACGGTTTCAAACGCTTTCCTTAACCATGAAATTTTTGGAACAGTTATAAACAAGTCCAATCTTTTAAATAAACAAAAAGAGATAACTATTCCTTAGTACATTTAACACACACAAAATCAATATTGTAAATAGCAGAACGAAAATAAAAATACACATTATTGTTATTAATTTTAAAATGTGTCTAAAAGTTTTATTCTTTATGTTACTGTTGTACGTTTTATTCATTTTCAGAATGAAAAAGAGAAAAGGAATCCGCTATCAATTTCTAATACATATAAAACGCGGTAACTGGCACTAACTACACTCAACATAATCTCCATTACAAATGCAATGTAAATCGCCATTTTCTGTATCCCTGAAAGCTGTTCTATTATTGTCCTTTCTCCTCACTAATGTCTTCTCATTCTCTTTTACTTCCAGAAAACCTTGCATTTTAAGGCAATTAGTATATTGCTTGGGCGAAATTATGAAAAAAATAAGAACAAAACTTCGTCTGTCTCAAGTGTTGAGATTGCCAGCTTGTTAATGACGATATTCATTATATTCAATCCCCCCCACTAGTGCGTCATGTGGCACAAGGCCGTTTTTAACGTGGGATCTCCGAGCCCGTGGGCTCGGCCCCAAAATATGCCCATTGAACCCGTATAAACGGGTTCAGGGTTGGTTTACCTCCCCGAAAGAGAATCGGCCCTTCGGCGTAGCCTCGTTCGGGTTCCTCCCCGCCCGAAGGCAGAGAGTTCAACCACTCAGCCGGTCAAGACTTGTTAATGACAACTTAAAAAAAAAATTGTTAGCCAATCATATATTGCGACGGCTGTATTACCAAAGATATTTTTCAGCCTCCTTGTCGAATGAAAAGAAAATGTTTTCCTAGAATAAAATGTAACCTGTTCTTTTAGTGCTTCTAACTAAAGTCTTCACATTGTCTTTCATACCCAGTAATCTCTTACGTCTTAGAGGCATTATCGCCTTCCTTTTGGTGGAATGATAAAACAAGCTCGTACGACGTCTAATATACTTCTCACGTAAAGCATAGCTAAAGATTGCACCAGTGGTTATTCCATGGCTAACCATGTTTGTACGCGACGTTGTCCAAATTGTTTATCAGTCCGTTATAATACATAATGTGTAATCTTATCTCTTAAGCTGTTAATAGTGTATTTAATTGCTAACGGACTTACAATGACGATTGTTATCTTTCTAAGTTTAGTAAATTACTTTAAAATAATCTTTTTATTTTCTGTCATTCACTTTTAGGAGATTATTTTTTCCTTTGCCTTCAAACGTCAGAACAGTCTTTTATAAAGCTTTAGTCGATTCTTTTCGAAGAAGGATAGTGCTTTTTATTCATCGATGTACTCTATCTTTCACCGTCTTCACAAGAGAAAACATTTTAGGGAAACGATAAAACCTAAGAAAATACTATCCATCAGGTTTTGTGTTCTTTTTTTTTTTTTTTCATTTGAACAAAAATATTCTCTCTTGATTTATTCATCGTTTACATTTGCGCGGGAAAGTAGCCCTCAGCTTTCAAATACTACCGGGGCAGAAGCGTCTATCAATCTTTATAATTTTTATTCCTTTCCCCCGCTTTTTGTACTGTGTATTCTCTTTTTACTCCCTTATATCTTCAATTGAGTTCTTTTAGTCTTTGTTAGAAGGGCCTTTTTTTAATTTCTTCTGCCTTTCCAAATCTCTCTCTACTTATTTGAATCTATCTCGAGTTTTTCTATTTCTTTCTTTCTTTCTTCTCTTCCCCCAAGGTGCCCGTGCCAATTTCAACGACTTTAATAAAAATCGCAGTATTTCTTTTATCTATTACATTCAGTCGAATTCCGACCCTTGTGGAACCAGACAGCTTGTCACATAGTGATCATGCCCGAGGTGCGCAAACGTAATTCCAATAGTTGAAGAGTCGATTTTGCCATTTTAAAGAAATTCTTTATTTACATTTTTTTCATAACTGCCATTCTTCTCTTAATTCTCTCAAGGATTTTCCCCTCCTTTCCCATTCGACATATTTCTTTCTTTTATTCTTTCATTCTTCTATTTCTCTTACCTCTGCTTTTATTTTATTTCTTTTTCTTTTTCCTTTTTCTTTTCTTTCATTCTTCTAGTCGTATTTTCTTTCTTTCATTCGTCTATTTCTCTTTCCTCTTTTCTCTCTTTCATCCTTCTTTTTCCACTTTTCTTTCTTTCACTTTTTTCTATTTTTCTCTTTTCTTTCTTTCATTTTTCTGTTTTTGTCTTTCCTCTTTTCTCTTTCTTTCATTCCTCTATTTCTTTTTCCTTTCCTTTTTCTTTCATTCTTTTATTCTCTTTCTCCGTCATCGTCTTCTATTCCTTCTTATATTTTTTCCTCTTCTTATGAATCTTGTTCTTCTCTATCATCCCATCCCGGCCCATTACCCCACAACTTGGATAATTTAAGGTAGCAAAATATGTACATTCTTATGTTAAGGCTTACAAAACATATACAAAGTTTACATTCTTTTTACATTGATAATACTCTACAGAGTGGATGAGCAGTTCAACACAGTGTAATATTTTGAATCATCTGTAAACAGGGGCCGACCAGGAATTTTCTTATGGTACTTCACTGGGCGTTTTGCTTGCACACAGGACTCCAGTTATTATAGCTATAATAGTAGTTTTATAATACATCTTTTTCAAATTAGCTTTAGATTAGTCTGCCTGTATTTCTCGATTCTCTAATATCTCGCATGTCGAACAAATCGGTTTTCGAACGGAAAATTCGATATGAAAATGCCTCGGTATCTGTCTATAGTTCTGAGATGAGGTATTATGTACATTATTTACATTATTCGGACTATTGTCCTCATCTTTGTCACCATATTTGTCTGATCCTTCAGTATCTGTCTATATTTCTGAGATGAGGTATATTATGTACATTATTTACATTATTCGGACTATTGTCCTCATCTTTGTCACCATATTTGTCTGATCCTTCAGTATCTGTCTATATTTCTGAGATGAGGTATTATGTACATTATTTACATTATTCGGACTATTGTCCTCATCTTTGTCACCATATTCATCACAAGTTTCGGCCGTGGTTGGAATGTCGAATTGAATCCTTTATTTCGATCACTGGGGTAGACTGTTCTAGTTCCACATGCCATGTCAATGGATGTCAGCTATCAGTTATCTCCTGTTAATTTTCCCTCTGAATGTTCTCCACTGCCTTAACCGGGTATTGAACTCACACTCTTTGGGTCTTGTCACTGGATCTAACCAACGCCTTTATTCACTATTTGAGGATCATCTGGGTATGAATTTCTGGGTATTAAAAACCTAACGTCTTCAGCAACCATTTTTACCAGTGCTCACATTGCAATTTTGCTGTTATCATTTCATGTTTTTTACCAGAGCTCATATTGCAACTTTGTTGTTATCATTTCTTTTCTCTGGCACTTCTTATTACTGGTTCCCATATTGTGTTTATATCTATGCTTGGTCGGCTCAGGAGATTTTTGTGGTCTAGCATATGTGCTAATTACTTAAGTTTACGAATTTTCCAATGGTGTTCCCTATCTATGATCTAAACAATATGCCACAGAGGGCGGTGATCTCCATTCTCTCTCCATATGTGATCAGCCACACCTCATTTTTTTACCTCCCCTTGGTGCATGAAAATTTCCAAGTAACGACAAACTTCAAGGTAAATACGAGACGCGAAAGAATGGGCGTCGCAACTCGTAACGTCATTTATAATGACCACGCGATTTTGAAAAAGAAATAGAAAGTTTGGGAAGTCGTTGGTATAACCAATGGCTATTTTATAAAATTATAGGCATTTAAGGATATTTGTGAATATATATATATATATATATATATATATATATATATATAATATATATATATATATATATATATGAAAATGTTGTCATTGAGACAGATTTAAACTTCTATAATATAGATTTAACTTTTTAATTCTCTAACATTTCATATGTTGAATGTATATCCATTTCTAAATTCTATATTTCCATTTTTTCACCATATCAATTATATCTTAAAAGTGTCCCCTATATTAAGAGCTTACTTTTTAGCGGCGGGGAAATATTTTAACTATATATTTTTTAAATGTTCTTCAAGTTTTTTTTTAAATTTATTGAAACCAATTTTTTTAATTATAACTTCATTTAACTCATTTTTAAAGTTAAAAATGGATAATTTATTTTAACTTAATTTTTTTTATTCTTTAATATATTTTTTAATTATATTCTTACTTTAATTTAATATAAATTATCTAAATATGATTTATTTTTTAATCTTTTTAATATAATTAATTTTTTAAGTATAATTCGTTATAATTTTAGTAGGAACCTCAATATAATATAACTAATATATATATATATATATATATATATATAATTTTTTATATATAAAACTAATTTTTTTCGGCCCCTCTTTCAGTTTCAATTTAACAGCTCATTCTTCAATATAACCCTCTTTAATGTCATAACTTTAATATCCAGGTTAATTTGATAAAACGTTTTCCCTTTAAGGCCAATACTTTCAAGCCTCCCCTTACCAACGACTGGAACTTCTTGTCTGATTGAAACATCGAAATGGGTAAATTCTGTATCAATTTTTCGACTGTCAAAGGTCAAAGTTAAATTTTAAATTTCTAATTCCGACGGGAACACAATCTATACACCGGGGTTGAATAAGAGTAACTTACTTCTCGTCGGTTGAAATAGATTTATACGCCCCACCATATGAAAACGATATTTTATGATTTTATATATATATATATATATATATATATATATATATATATATATATATAATTTTTAATATTATATATATATATATATATATATATATATAATTTTGATGTATTAAAAAACACATACATATGCAAAATATATAAATATATATACATGCATCCACTTACACATATTTATATATATATATATGTAAAAAAAAAACTCCCAAGAGGATAGATTTTTTAGAACTCAATGTCCAGGACAGAGTAAGAATATAATAAAAAGGATTAAACATTAATATTCTATGGTCATAATTTATTCCATTGGAATCGTAAATACGATCCAATTCGTTAGACCTAGAAATTAAAAGAAAACAGAAAATTATTCCTGAAAACTTTCAACGAGTGCACAGGATCACCATTGTCAGTGACGTTTGTTATTGGGGTCATGAAAGTTTCGGGTCTTGCAACATCATATTACCGAAACAGTACTCTTCCAGCAGGCGATCCTGATGCAAAAAACAAAGAAAAAAAAAATACGCCAAGCACACCGCAACAAATGGACTCATTAAATAACTGCCGCTGCTGATCTTGAAATTACAAGCGACCAATCATTAACGACTTACGTCACTTCCTCCTCAGCCAAGACGATACAAAAAAAAAGAATAGACAGCATGCTTGTCTTTTTTTCCATCTTAGGTCCACCATGCGGAAAGATCTACATTCTCAACGACTAGTTTGACATAACAGGTAAGTAATGACAAAAAAAGTTTCCTTTCATATGAAGCGTTGTTTTAAAAAAAAAAATATCGAACACATTCGTTGGTCATAGGAATTATGATCAGAAACATTGCTTGCATTCTTTTCCTACCACCACCATTTATTCTTTTCGTTTCTTTCTTTTTACACTCCACCTCTCTCCCCTCCCGACTAGGAAAGAAAAAAAAAAAAAAAACAGGAACACCAAGACGGCTTTGTTGAAAAAGGTGAAGAAAAAAAATAAAAAAAAAAAGATCCTCTCCCAGACATGTTTTTTTTGGTCATCCCTCTAAAATATCCCTTTTCTTCCTTCCCAACTGCCCTTCAACACCCACCATTTTCCATTGTAGAAATATATATATATATATATATATATATATATATATATATATGATATTCCTGTCGAGATTCGACGTATGAGGGTCAAGCAGATCAGTTTCCAGGAAACCGACAGCCCGACATCGGCACCTGAGATTTGATTATAGTGGTGAATGCCTCGTGCAGGACCATCCATACTTTTTGAAGGGGCAAATACAGAGACCTGCTGCACCGAATGCCACAAGGTTCCCAAACGACCATCTGCAGGTTTTGAATTCAGAGTTGTCCTTCTCCTAGACCAGTTGCCATCCAAGGCTATAGAACCCAATCTGTCCTGCTATTTTACCCATACCTGGAGGGAAAGGAAGAGGATTCATACCTTTCCCAAGGGTATTAAGGTCAGTGGATGTAATGGATTCGACTGGAATTGAACTCGGCTCAATGATTCTCAATTATTTATAATATCCATTATCATGTATTGTGCGTAAATTTATATATATATATATATATATATATATATATATATATATATATATATATATATATATATATATATATATATATATAATATATATATATATATATAATTCTTATATATATATATATACAGTTTGAATGTTCAGATTTTCTAACAGTTTTTGTATGAGAAATTAAATGTGAATTTATTCATTTCAGGTCCGTCTGTTGCGTTTTTTCCGCTCTAATGCTCTAAGAAAAATCAGAAATCCAACCTTCTCCTTTTCAGCTATGGATTAAATAGTAGGATGGACTTGGTTCTCAAGTCTTGGATGGCAACCAGTCAAAGAGAATGTCTACTCTGAATGTAGAAACGTGTAAAAGGCAACAGGCGAAAGCAATCAGGAACATATTTATGCACTTCATTGTATAAAATATTGTCAGGTCTGTGTTATTTTTTAAATCATGTTTTTTTTCTATTCCTTCTTTCTGTTTGGTTAAGGTGTTATTATGCCACGGATCTTCTAACGCCTACCTTGGGTCCTGAATACGGAAGAACACCAACATTTTTTATTTCTCTTTTCCAACCAACCCATTAACATATTTGGTAATCTTTGTATATTGCCACATGTTGTTTTTGACCTCCGTGATATGCAGAGTTTTGTCAACTCGAAAATCTCAGAAGAAACGTTATGTGCTCTCGCGAGAATATCTGTCACCTGAATAAAATATTCCTTTTCTTGAACGCTTTTCTTGCTTAATTCTTGTTTTATTTGAAGAAATTATCTTCATTTTCGTTATTCAGAAGAATATTGATTTAAAACAGCTCAAAATGTGAGCTACCTACTGGAAACGTTAAACTGAAGCATATACTGAAATTTAACTATCTACATAATGTAGTAAACAGTCGACAGATAATGACGAAAGAGGCCTTCCTGAAACTAAGCAATGTATTAAAACAAAGCGTTTTTAGAGCCAATGATGGTAGTGATGATTTTCCATGCAATATTTCATTTATATCGCATTAAATGTTTCAAAAGTCCTTCCTATCATTTAGATCCTTGAAGGTAGTTATTATTGGCCAGTCCTCCGAGGTCCTAGCGGTC